TACTCATATGATTTTATGATTATTTGCATATTTGTGTAACAAAACTTTACACCAACGATTTTTTTTTAATGTGAGATGTTTAGTAGTTTCAATAATTTATAATCATTTTAAAAAAACAATGACATATTTCAAAATTAAAATATTAACTTTTCAATATATGTTCAAGGCAAATATCAAAATATAAGTATGTATTTTCATAGGATGTATAGTTTAATTAAAATGATATTAAATATATATAAACTAAAATTATTTCTTCATATGGTCTTATAATCATTATATTTTATTATAGAAAAAAAATTAAAACCTTGATCTTAAAAGTATATGTGGGACTTTAACAGTTTTAGTAATTTATAATCATTTTGAAAAATTCAAAATACAACATACAAAAAAAAAATCTAGATCTTTATTATATGATTAATGTAATTGTGTAATTTTTTTTAATAATAAAGAAATAAACAAAATGAAAAAAGTATACAGATTGTTATCAAATCTTTATTGTTTAAAATCATTAATTTTCATATATATATTTTGATCACATTAGGTAATTCCGTAGGTTTTATTTAAGGAAAGCATGCGAAACAATAAATATTTGATATATACGACCAACTATAGCCTACGGAATATTATAATGCTAGAGAATATGATTTTTAAACTATACATTATATCACATGCTCTAGAATTCTTGAGATTTGAAATAGAAGCCAAAGAGCTATGCCACGTAGAATTGGGGTTTTTTTAAATGAAGAGTCATTGGGCTTGATTGGTAGAGTATTAGCAAGTAACCTAATGTTTTTGTAAGAAGCAGTTAGTAAAATATTTGCATTTAAAATATATAAAGTTTCAAAACTAATTTAATATAATTTATTTATTTGTCTAATAATATTAGAAAATTATATTTTTTAAAAAAAAAAATTTAAAAAAATTATACAAAATTAAGTAAAATTTTAAATTATTTTTAAAAACAATATTTTAAGGTTTTCAATACAAATAAACAATTTAAAATTAATTATCCTCATGATTTAACATAACCATAATGATTTAAAAAATTTAAAAAAAATAAAAATTAACTCAATTTTATATCATGATTTAACAATTTAAAATTAATTATGGTTATGAGAAATTTACGTTCACATGTCAATCCTATTTATCTTCAATTTTTTCTCTTGTTGTGTTTTGTTATATTTTGTTTATTACTCGATATAAATGTTTATTTTGAAGTTTATTCTCATTTTGTTTATTTGTTTTGACCTGGGATTTAGAAAATACTTATGATTTAAAATAATTAAAGAGATACATACTTAGGTTAAGATCTGCACTTTATACACAATAAGTATTTTATAATTATTCTTTATTTTATATTTTCTGCATATTATAAAATAACAAATATATATATTAAATAACTAATAAATCAGTTACTATTATATAATAAATTGACGTATGCATATAAATTTATCTATCACTTTTTTATTCGCAGTTAGGGTGAATAAATCAAAATAATCAATCTTATATATTGTATATGAAATATAATTAAATTTAAATGATATAAACATAGTAATATATCACACTTTTAATATAGATATTT